GTGATGATCCTTCAACATGGTCAAATTATTGGTAAAAAAAATACAAATAAAATATTTCTTTGATAATTTCACTTTATACATTTTGTTTTTTTTTGCTTAGGCCAGGTTTTCCATCTCATGGTGTTGTAAATAATTGTGGTATTGGTCAATCTGATTTTATGTGGAATATTCGTTCAAATCGAAATATAAAACATATCTATTCTCAAATATGGAATACAAATGAATTATTAGTTTCATTTGATGGTTGTGGTGTTTTTCGTGATTGGCGTTATGATTCAAAATGGAAAACAAAAGGTGGATGGTATCATGTTGATCAAAATCCTGTATTAAAACCTAATCGTTGTTGTATACAAGGATTTGTTTCATTAACAAATCAAAATGAAACAACAGGCGGATTAATTGTTGTTCCATATACACATTTACGTTTTGCACAATTAACTGAACTTGGTCAACGACCAAAAGATTTTATTATGATACCACGTGATCATCAAATTTTAGATCGAGGTCATGCTATAGGAAAACTTATACAATGTCAAGCAGGTGATCTTGTTCTATGGGATAGTCGTCTTGTACATTGTAATTCACCTGCATTTTCAATTGAAGAACAACATGAAAATGAACCAATAGATTTCTTACGAATTGTTGCTTATGTTAGTATGAGTCCAACAACATTTGTACAAGGATATACAATTGATAAATTTCGAAAAGAACGTAAATTATTAGTAGAAAATAATTGTACATTAACACATTGGAGTACAGAATTAGTACAAACACGTTAGTAAAAATAAATTAATATTAATCTATTTATTTATTTATTTTCAATTTATTTAGGTTCTCATGGTGATTTACCTAAAATATCATTGAAAAAATTTGATGCATATCAACGTGCACTTATCCTTGGTACTGATTTTACTGAAGAATGAATATATGTCAATATCTTTTTTCTTAGAACGAAAAAAAAAACAAGAAAATTTATTTCATTATTTTGTTAATATCTGTTTTTGAATTGATATATTATATAAAATGTTTTCGAAATCATTGTTGAATAATTGTTTTTTTTTTTTTATAGAAATTTATTGTTTTGTAAGAAAATGCTAATCACTTGAATTATTCTTTCACATTCTTCATAGTAATCTATGCTTTTTAACATTGACATTTCCAACATTCGGAAAGAAAAATGTTGTAATAATATCGATTAGCAAGATATCTACTTTATATTATGATACAAAGATCATTTAATATCGTTACGAAATTATATAGAATCTTTTCTATAAGTATTTGATGTTCAATATGAAATGAGAAGTTTTTTTTTGTTCAGATTATTCTTGATGAAACAACACGCATGCGTACATATCTGATAAGATTAATAAGATATAATAATCTATTAACGATGAATCTTTTTATCCCCTATGAAATAATTGTATTATGAAAGAAAGAAAAAAGCAGCAACAGTCATCATTTAACTATATCATAAATATTAGTTTGCTTATATATTTTTTTTTTTTATTCATATCATCTTTAAACTCATATGTGAATCATATGGAATGTTTATTTGTTCATGTTAGAAATCAATCTTATTAGAAGTGATCACTGACATAAATGTTGTTGTTCTTATTATATAATCAATGGCTATATAGTGAGAAGTATCTTGAGGCGATACATCTATTGCAAAAGAGCGTATAATGTGATGTGCAATCACTGACAAAGCACCAATATAATACTGTATATTTATGTCGTCATATAATATCACAGCTGTCAATCACCGACATTATTTCCTTCAAAATGGTACTGTTCATTTGAGGTTTTCTTTTTTTTTTTTTTCTTTTATTGCCATCAGCGACATAGAAAGAGAGAGAGAAAGAACAGATGTACAAAATACTCAATTGTCATTACAGGTATTAACAAAAAGAAAAAGATAAAACATTTGTTCCAATATGGAAAAAACGATTCATTATTGATTTTCTATGGTAAGGCAACAAAAAAAACGTAATCTTATGCGTGCATATATGTATCATAAAATGATTATCTGTCATATGATTTGTACAAACAATATTTGAACGTAAGAAAGAGAGAAAGAGTCCCCTTTCCGTTGTTCGTGTATGAATGTATCATATTAATATTGAAGAAAAAAAAAAAGACGTGGAAATGTGAGATGATTATCCAGCAATCAATAGTGAATTGTCTTATTACAAGTTATACTAGAAAATGAATCAATTCATTTGATCAATATATATACGGCTATGTCATCGATAGTCGTCATCATTATCATCAGGTTTGAATTATGATAGTGTTTTGATACATTAATATTTTAATTTAATCTGACAACCATCTGTTCGATATATGATTTACTTATGATCTGTTGATTTTAAAAGGACTCTACTAAATGATGCAAATAAATTTTAATACGAACTAATTGAATTTTAAATACATAATTTTTCAAGTGTACTCTTGGTCCGTATGATTATTTATATGTTTAAGAAATGTGTAAGAGAAAGTTATTATATATGTATATATATATATAGCATCGACTACGATAAATCGTATGTCAAGTCTCGCCAGTCATATAAGCATATACACAGAAAAAAAAAAAGAATTGAACCGCTTCGTTCTCTTTGCATGTACTTATATGTTCACTTGATGAGAAACAGTCGCCACGTTGATACTTTGTTGATTGTTATAAAAATGGGGAGACTAACTGTGCGACAGAGTGACGCCCATGCGATTCCAATTATATTGACGGCTCGTTTTTTTTTTTTTTTCATTGAAATATTCAATACATATCTACATAGTAATAAGTCGGCTTATTATTTATATGTTAGTACGATTGACAGTGACGGCCAAATCGTATAGACTTATAATATTGAATGAATATTGATTGATCTATTGATTTATTTTTAGATAATGATGTGGATATATTGATCACGCACATGTCATGCCATGTTTATTCGATTGTTCTTTGTTTATTTATTCATTTTTATAAGCCAAATATTGGCTAGTTGTCCATATATTCGTACATCTATTATCTTAGCTGATTGTGTATTTGATACAAGTCTTTATATTTCACTTGGTGCACATATATTTAATTCAAATTCAATTGATTTTATTGGTCATTATTCATTTAATAACAATAATAATAATAATAATAATAATAATACGGAAAATCAAATTAGTAATACACTTATATATAATTTAGGTAATCGTTGGATGTTACTTTTACCTTTATTACTCAAATGTTCTCATCAACCTGTTAATCTGACATTTACAGAATGTCAATATACTATGCGACAGCATAAATATACAAGTAGATCATCATCGATTTCGGAATATATGACAACTCAATTGAGTGTTATGAATGTTACTAATCTTGGTATGCAATCAGTACTTTTTTTGCAACCAGGTTGGTTTAAATAATTTTTTTTATGACTAAATGAAAAAAAAAGTACAAATATATATATATATACTTGATATTTAGGAGAAATAACTTTACGTTCATGTAAAGCATATGATTGTTCAAAACAACTTGTTTATTTAACAGCATCAAATGAAACATTTAAATTTAAAATTGATTATGAAAAATCTATTGGTACAAAATGTTATTCAAATGGAGATTGTACTAATAGATATATAATCAATGATCTTATACAATGTGATCAAATAACACAAACATGTCAATGTTCAAATGAAAATATAACACGAATTGATATAACAGGTATTGGACGTATATGTACTGATTCAATAGATCGAAGTAATTGTACAAAATTTCCACAACGTTGTTTACAATGGTGTGATGAAAGTAAAACATCATATTGTATATGTCCAAAATATACACGTAAAGTAAGAAAAATTAATGGAGTTTTTGATTGTGAATTAGAACCAACAGGTATATGTCGATTTGATGATGAAAATTATATTGGATTGAATATAAGAAAATGTCCAACAGGTAAATGAATATATTCCTTTTTTTTTTGTTCGAATGAGTTTTTTTTTTTATTTTGTAGGAACTATTTGTAATGATAATCAATGTCGACCATTAACAATATTTCAAAAATTACGACATGAATCATTTATTTCATCAACAATATCTATGTTACCTTTATATTCTTCAACAATAAAAGAAATTCATACAAAAATAAAAACTAGTTTTATATTAATATTAATTATAATAACTATAATTAGTTTATTATGTTTTATTCTTATTATATCTGTTATAACAATACTTATTAAAACACATCGATGTCGTTTATTATCATCATCAGAAGATAAAGTATCATCATCATCATTTGCACAATCAACATCAACAGCAATATCAACTGATCTATCAAATGAAATATATCAATTTCAACAATTACCAATATTAACAACAGATTATTCAAAACATTATCAAAATTATTTAATAGAACAATCAAAATTTATACATGGTATTGTTCCACAAACTAATTTATCACCACGTTTTCATCGACATTATCAAGATTTTGATAAAATACAACGACGAGCACCATTACAAATACAATCACCATCTTTATCTTGTGTTAATACATTGATTGATCATGGATTATTAACAACAAATAAATATAATATAAATAATAATGATAATAATACAAAAAAATGTAATCATCTACCAACAATAACACATTTACAAAATGGAGATGTTCTTATATCAGCTTAGAAAATATTTTCATTATCTTACTATTATTGTTGTTTATTTAATTGATATTTTAAAAACTTTTTAAAGAATAATTTCAATGTTTTTTTATATAAAGAAAAAGTCTTGTTTTTTTTTTTTTTTGTTTTGTTTTGTTTCAAAAGAGAAAAAAAAAAGTTTCTCTGTAGTGTATTAAAGATATATTTAATAAATACACCAATCATGTCTTATATACAAATATTACGCAGTAAAACAATGACGTACAAAGAAAAAAAAATAAAAGTTTTTTTTTGCGTTCGTTATTTCTCATGTTTTTATTTTATTACTTTGAGAAAAAAGAACAACATAAAAATCACACATGGACTGTTTACCACACCTGAATAGTCTCTTGCTTTCTACTATTGATGATGTCAAACAAATTTATTTTCCAACAAGTTTTGCATTAGTTGCTCTGTATTTTCCTATATTTCTTCTGGCAATATTTAATCGTTCTATTATAAAAATATCTAAATGGATTCTTACAATACCAATTATTATCTATCTTCTTATTATACCAATATGTCAACCATTTTGTCATATACCATTATTTAATGCATGTATTGCAAGTTTTGCAATATATTATGCACAAAAAATTTGTGAATGGATATTAATACGACGAAAAGAATTTTATCGTTGGTCATTTTTTGATATTCATCATGAATTATTCTATTATCGTGTTTATACATTACCAATAAGTGTTAAAAAATTAAAAAAAAAAAAAAAAGAAATTATTTTTAGTGGACCTATACAATATGATAAACATTTTAAATCATTAATATATATATCATGTAAAATTATACAATATTATTTATTATTAGATCTTTTAATTTTTTTTCTTAATGAAATTTTTAGTACAGAATTTTATCAAAAATATTATAAAAAATTTTTAGTTTTACAAATTATTATTAATCAATCAAGTGGTATTATTGTATATCTTCTATTTGTAATTAATTATGATATACTTCGATATATACTTTGTTTAATATTTAATCGACCACTTAAATTAATGCCTGAATTATTTCAACAACCTTATCGAGCAATATCACCTGCTGATTTTTGGTCAAGATGGCATCAAATGTAAGTGATATAGATAATTTTTCTTTTTCTTGATTACATACTGCTGATTATTTTTGTTTTGTTTAAAAATACAATATCTTACATTAGATTATTCATATTTGTCAAATAGGAAAGTATTTTGATATGAATCTATCATTTAAAACTTTGAATATAATTCAAATTTCTTTTCTTTTTACGCACTATAATTATCATTCAAATAAAACATCTATTATATGTTATTCAAAACACTGAAAAAAAGTTGGAGTTTTTTAAATGATTTATACAGTGTATCGAATAATTGTTCGTTTACCCCCTATAGTTTTTTTCTTTTTATCTTGTGAAAACGAACTGAGGAACTAGTGCTTGGACACATATAAACTCTAGTATGTATGTTCTTACTTTTAGTTTTGTGTTTTCTTTTGATTGTTATTATATTGAAAAGCAAACGAAAAATTATTCATTTAAATAGAGAAAATATGTAATTTGTTCTATGAAAGAATTACTCGATTTTTTGTAATAGTTTGCTGTTTTCAGTTGAAACCGAACAAAATCGGCTATCGTATTTCTATTTCTAAGTTTCTACTATTAAAATAAAAACTTTATAAATTTAGTTTCTAATTAATTATTTCATTAGATGAATATTTAATTTTTTCTTATGAAAATTTGAAATATTTTTACTACTTCTATACAAAGTTGAAAGTAGTAACATATAAACTGAAGATGATGTGATAAAAACAAAAAACTATCGGAGTTGGATGTATGATTTTTTTTGATTCAGTGTAAATATTTTTGAAGACAAACTTAAAATAATATTCATTGTAATAATTGAAATTTTTGTTCATCACTATATCTATCAAGTAGAATAATATTTTCAATATAATAATACTATATCTAAAATGAATAGAGATATCGAATATCTATTAATTTTATATTTGTATAGATTTAAAAATACTTGGATTGAACTTATTTTTAAACCAATATCAAAATTAATTCTTTATTGTTGGCCTTATTCACCGAAATATGTTGTTAATGGTATTTCATCAATGTGTGTTTTCTTATTTTCTGGTATTGTACATGAATATTATACTTATGTAGCATTTTCAAAATTTTCTGGTAATCAAATAATATTTTTTCTTCTACAAGGTTTAGCTGTTTGTATTGAATATATACTTAAACGTCAATTTCATCAAATATATATTCCAAAATCAATTAGTTTTTTATTAACATTCATATTTAATGGTATTACAGCTGGTTATTTTATGCAACCATGGATATCATATTTTGTTAAAAGACAAGCATTTAAATATTCATTAATGAATTTAATTATACGAATTTTATCTGATAAATATTGATATATATATTTATGTATAATTTGATATTAATAAAAGATACTCAGGCATAAGTTTCATCATAATATAGATGAAAGCTTAGAAAAAATTATAATCGAATGTCAATCATAGGAGGAGTTTTTTTGTGAAACACGATCTGAAAGGAGTGTTGAAGTGTATATGGTAGAAATTTTGCACCACCCACAGACCGTGACAGAGAAACTGTAGTTGTAAAGCATCAGATAAACGGTTAGCTCCAAATGTGTCGCGAAGAAATGGAACAAAACGATTTCGATTTAATTAGTAACAATAGATCCATCGTGTTTCACATTTTTAATTCCACAAGGGATTGCGCTAACAGCTTTTTTAATAAATCTAACTTGTTCACTTCTTACAATAATGAAAGCTCTACCGTCGTCAGTTTTATATAAAACTTCCAATTGCTATTTCTAAAATGCTGTTCTTTTTTTTTTTAAACAGAAACAATCACTGTATAGAATAGCTACAGTGACAGTAGACATTGTTGATATGAAAGGAGTTGACCACGAGATATAGTTGTCGAAAAAGAACTAATCCATAGAACTGTGACATGTCACAGACGTAATTGATAATAGAAACAAATTCTTTAGGATAACATAATAACAGTTTTATTGTTTATAGGCTAAATTACGAATTATGATCGAAGACTCATCAGCTGAAACTTGTTGTAAGCCATTCTATCAAATAGAACTTGGTCATTCGATTGTTCATGATGCGTAGTAACAAATTCTGTTTCGGTTTAGTTTTCCGGTCTTCGGTTGATGAGTTATGAGTACTTTATTCAATTTTTGTACCATGTTGGTCAAACAACTAAACTAAAACAGACCTTTGTATTATTCATTATGATTCATTGAATAATAATAGTCTCAAATTAAAAACGATTAGATCGTTGGAAACATCGAAGAGTTCATTCAAAGTATTAGAGAGTTTTCTATGAAAAGAGTCATTGATTGATCCTTTTTTTTTATAATCTAAACTTGTTTCTATCTTGTCTCATATCTTCTCGTTGAGATAATATTTGTTTTATTTCATATAGAAATTCGATCGATCTATTTTATTATTTGAATACATATCAAAAACGTCATCTAGTCTATTGAACAAATCCAATGAAATATTACAGATATTTCATCGAAAAATTAGACATAAAAAAAACTCTATATTGATTTTCATCTGTATATATATAATGTTAACAGGAACCAGCTGTTAAAGAATGTTTTTATTTGTTGTCTACATTCTTCATATTCTTTCCATATGTTATTATTCATCGTACATCTATTGTTCTTATTATTTCAATCAACAATATAAAATTATGATTCGATTGATAATAAACATTTTCATCTGATTATTTTGTATATGATCTTTGTCCGTAAATAGTGAAGTAGAAAAAAACAAACTTGAATCAATTTTATTTTTAAACTTATTTGCATTTCGAAAGAATTGATAACGTTTAAGAGAGCAGAAATAATTTTCTTTTTCAAATCGATAATGGATTTACCTGACAAAATTTTTTTTTTCTTTTCCTTTGATGTATTCTATATCCTTCATATGAAATGATATTAATTCAATACGAATCATCACTTAATTGTTATTGATTCTCATCAGACAAAAAAAACAAGGAAAATCTTATTTATAGTATCAAGCAAATAATTATGTTTGTATAAGATTCGGATATTATTTTTTTTACCTTTGTGTTCATCATCATCATACCGCACACGTGTATATAGAAGTAATATCATTAAATAAATATCACGACTGTCATCTTCTCTTTCAACTCATTTATATATACAATAGATAAATACATAAAAACAGAAATTCATTATACATTATCGATTAAATCACTGTTTACAATAGAAATATTTATAACAATATTTTCATTCATTTTAAACTTAAATCAAGTGGATTATTATCATAAAATGAAGAATTTTCAGGAATATAAGGTGGAACTTTACAAATTGTTTTTTGTTTTATATCTGATAATGTATTATCTATTAGATAATTTTCATTTGATTGATATATATTATAATCATATTGTTTAGTTGAAAAACAATCAAATATTGATGGTGGAACTTTAACCATAGTTGGAATAAAACGTATACGTCGACGAGTTTTATTAATTATTGCTTTCTTTTTTAATGATATTATTTTAGATTTTGTTCGATTTTTACATGAATTAATTAGATCAGGTAAATCAATAGATGATGTCGATTGAGATATATACCAATTATCTGTTGAATTTTGTGATCGACATAATTTTACTTTAAGTTTTGAATTTGTTGATGATAATAATAATGAATTTTTATTTTCTAATAAAATTGATTGTTTTGATTGATGTATATGTTTTAATATTGATTTATAACCATATAAACTAATAATAAATCGAATATTAAGTATTGAATTCTAAGAAATAAAATAATTTTTATTTTCGAAAAAATAAAAATAATTTTTACTTTATTTTTTATATCAAAACAATAACATATATCAATTAATCGTTCATTATTTGTATTTAATAAAAATGATTTATAAAATAGATCGATCTAAATTTCAAAGATCACAATAAAAAAAAACAAACTTATTATTATTACTTTCATTGTTGATGGTAATGAATATTTAATTCGAAGAAATTTTTCAATTGTTAATAATGGTGTATTAGCTTGACATTCTAAATAACATTTTGATAATATTGTTTGTGATTCATTCGGAAATAGATCCAATGAACTAAAGAAATTAGCAAATCAATATTAGCCAACGGCTATTTCATATGGTCATTAGATATCGAAAAGAAAAAAACGGAAATTCATTAACTATCGATATAGCCAACGGAAATATATGCATTACTTTTAAATTAGAGACTAATTTAATTCTAGCATGTTAATTAATAATTATAAACTTACATATCCCAATATTCTAAATAAACATTTATCTTTGTTTCAATCTGAATATATGTTGAGTCTATAATAGATAATAAATAAAACAAATCTTCCCTTTAGGCATTTAGTTAACTCTTACCATTAGTTGTCGGTACAGATGATTTACACACGATTTCACCTGAATATATAATAATAAAGAATGAATAGATAATTATATTGTATATAACGAAAAGTAGAGATGAATATGAAAAGATAATTCGAATGAATGTACTAATGTGAGAAGTCATCCACATGATTAATCGATGTCTTTACATATTAGATAAAAACGTTTCGAAGTTTTATCAAAATCAACTTATATACTAGGCTATTATTTTTGATTTCATTTGAAAAATGAAAAAATATAATAAATATTTAATGTCGATCAAATATAATATCTCGGAAAAATTCAGAGTTTCAATTTTGATTTGAAGCTTTTCATAGAGATTCGACTCATTAAGAATAGCTTACTATAAATTGTTCCTGTCCTAAGATACAGTCAGGGGCATACCGATTGATGGGAGCGCGTGGGGCGTAACGCCCCCTTCCTGTTTTGGAAAATTAGCATTGATTTTTTGGTTTGTGCCTCCCTCTCTGCTTTTGATTTTTATCATCAATTATTGTAAAAAGATAGACTGTGCTGATATTGCGCACCCCCCCCCCCCGCCTACGACCCTCGGTATGCCTCTGGATATAACTATAATAAAAGCGTGTTGTCTATACTACTCATATCGAGCGGCAGATTTGATGTTCTTATTTCTGGAAAGGAATAAATCATAAGATTAAGCTTTAAATAGAAATTTGAAAACGAATTTTCTTAGTGTTTCTAAGGAGAGACTATGACATTCATTTAAAAAATATTATAGATATATATATATTATCTTACCAACAATAAGTTAAAGAGCTGAACCTATTCACAATTCATTAGAGTCTACATAGTACAGATAGTTCAAACTTCAAAGTAATTAGTCAGTTGAGAAACTTTTTTGGTACTTGGCTAGACAAAATTTTCAATCTAGTAACATATTGAAAAAAAATTTTTCATACAATCCTATAGAAACTAAGTAATTACTCATATATTGAGATACGATATCTTGAATTTAATACATTCATTAGGAAAGAATCAAAATCTTATCTTACGTTGAATAATATTTGGAAATATTTTATATAATAATCGTTGAAAAGTAAGATCAAATCTAGAAGAAAAAAAAAGACATTATTCAAAAATTTTTTAAATTTAAAAATATATATACTTACTTTAATGTTTGAAAGGGATTAACAAGTATTATTTGACATATTGGACAAGTATTATTATTTTTTGCAAAATAATTCATTATACATAATTTACAAACTAAAAAACAAAAAAAAACGAAATAAATATTTTATTATTTAAAATAGTCTTACAACGATGAAAACATTCATTAATAATTGTAGCTAAATGTATAAGTTCATTACAGAGTGTACATTTGAATAGTGAATTAACAAACGAAGATTCAATAATGATTTTATCCATCTGAAAAAAAAAAACAGGATATATTCATCAATCATTACAATACTTTCATTAAGATGTAATCATTATCATGATAGATCACATATGGCTTGTCAAAAAAAAAAACACAACGAATACTAATTGAAATAGGAAAAAGTAAAAGGTCATTGAGAGAGAAAAAAAGAAAGTATGAACGTGCTCATCAATGAATTACTATGATTATATACTAAAACAAAAGATGAACATTTCACATATTCACTAAATAACTGTTCATATATATATTTGATTAAAAAACAAAAAAAGACCATGAAATAGAAGACTTTTTTTTTCCTTCTCAATATAAGTTGTTCTCATAAGCAACAACAAAAAAAAAGAATCAATCAAGTATTAACTTCTTTCATTCTCTATAATATGAGAGAATGTCCAAAATACAAAATAGCGGGCAAACGTCTTCTTTGTCTCGTTCAAGACGAAAAGAACAGAACACGAAGAAGTAAAAGAAAAATTCTACTATCAGAATAGTACATGATGTTATAAATGAGCAAAATCTTATTCGTTAGAGTCTATCAAAATTCATTAGATTTATTTCAAGAGATTCTCATTTTTGGAATTTCTCGGGAGTGATTAGACTAAAAAAATTATGAAATTTTCAATGGAGATAGATCTCGGTGATAAGAGCAAAATTTGTCGATGTTTTCTTCAGAAAGATATGAAATCAAATTTTCTATGATAAATAGGATCGAATTGAGGAGCGTATCTTTGTTTTTTTTTCTATGATATTACATTTTTTACTTTAGAAATTATTATTAAGAATAAAAATTGCAACGAAAATTGAGTTTAATAAAAGTACTAACTAATAAAGAAGAACTTTTATTTATATGACATTTGATAGAGAATATTTTGAAGTTATACTTAAAAATTTTGATTTTAACAATTAGAAAGAATTTCTTAATATAATCCTAATATATTCTATTTGATGAAAAACAAAAATTACAGAAAAATTTCCATCAAATAATTTATATTATATAATTTTTTAAAAAATTTTATAATGAAAATAAATACATTATAAAGTGTATTCTACTTACTTTTTTTTTTTTATTTATTTTTTCTCTTTGAAATGTCGTTTTGACTTATTTTCAAATTTTGCAAAAATAATATCACTTGTACAAGAACAAAAAAAAAGCAACCCTATATACTTTGCAATCGAATGAGATAGTACACAATGTTAGATGGCTATTCTCTTCTTTTTTTCGTTTTTATTCTACATCAACATTAATGTATATATGCTCGTACTTGCTCATGAACGAGCTCAAAGAAGAGAAGAAAAAAAAATGCAGCATTCTCGTTGGCCAACTTTATGTACAATATAGAAAAAAAAAATGTAATTTAATCAGTCGCATCTTTCAAGCACTATGAGACTGATTGATGATAGAGATGAGTGTACAAGAAATGAACTAGAAGATGTGTACATAAATGATGGATATAGAATTATCGATTGTCATAAAACTTTTCAATGGTTTATTATTTGTTTGTTAATATATATTTATGAATGACTTATGAAAAAAAAGTATTCGATGTATTTGTTAAATATGATTGGATAGAAATGAGAACTTTATAGGTGAAAAATACATATAGAAGTTTATTCAATCAAACTAAATAATTTCCGATGAGTTTTAAATATTTACATTAAATTTGATACAAGTGCTTGAGATTAAAGAGTATAATATTCTAAGTTAGTTCTCAAATATCTAAAACTTTACATATGTGTATATTCTAATATAGTAAAATTTTCATTAATGAATATAATAATAAAATTTATAGTCAATTTATTTTATATATCATTTTATACAATATGAAGAAGAGATAAGAATACTTGAATTAATTTAAGTCTCTTCAAAATATTGTTTTGCTAATCACTATTGGTATTTTTCTACAGCTGTGAAGTCAATAGAAACAATCATCTTATGAATAACACATCTGTTGTCTATGAAAAGAGATTAGTCTTTTCTATTTAACTCAAGAATAGATATAGTATTCTATCACCTAAATTAATTGGAACTCATAAATTGAAAATATTTGAATAAAGATCGATATGCTTTGTATTTCTCTATAATACAACTATAGAACATATGATTGTATAAGAATTAATTCACTGCCTAAGCAAGTTAATATAGTTCGAGTATATTATATTTTTGATCTTCAAATTCATTATTAAAATACTAGAAGATAGTATAAGAAATATTAGTTATATATTTATAAAAATAGCATCAATACAAGAAACATAAAGAGTATGGATAGACGAAGAGAAGAAAAAAAAACTCACAACTACATATATAATTGAAAATTTTTTCTGAACTCATATCCAAACTTGATGTTGCATACATTTTATTTAAAAACCAAAAGTTTCTTTTTTTTGTTTTTAAATAACAAATCTACAAGATTACAACATGAGTAATTCCAATTCTAAGATAGATCGGTATATATAGACATAAATTGATCAATAAAAATGAACATAAATCATATTTTTTATATTGTTTCTTTACATTAGTCTATAATTATAATGTTCGACAAAAGTCTTTAAAATCTTTAATAATTAATGTAATATTACGTACTGAATAATGAATTCATTATTTTATATATTAATTTTCATTTTTTAATAAATTTTTTGTTTCTTCAACAAGTTTCTTCATCATTTGTTCATGTTGTATATTTCTATTTTCATTTGCACTATGAAGAATATCAAGAATATATTTTATCAAACAATTAAAACATCGTACAGCTCCATTAAATCCATATTGATAAGTTAAATATTTCCAAAACATTGTAACAAATATACTTTGTATTTTAAATATAGATAATGCACTTGGTAAACTCATTATATTATCTGAATAATGAGGAATAACAATTGAACAATTTGTTGAAAATGCTAAAATTAAAATCATTATTTTAACAAGTATTCCATTTGGTTCTAATCGTGCAGTTAAATGATCAGAATGTTTAATAATTTTATCTCCATAAATTGTAGTACAATTTGTTATAAATACCATATTATCTAATGCTTTTAATTCACGTATAAGAAAAATAGAATTTAATGCACCAGCTGTTTCAAAATTATTTTGAATAAGTATTTGACGTGTATGAATTGATAAATCATGAAAATATGGTGAACGTTCAATAAATAATTGAAGTGTAGAAAAGAAAACTTTAAAAATAAGAATTGATTTTGATGGTTTTAATCGTAATTTTGGTGGTAATGATGATTGTTGTTCAAGATGATATTTCATTTGTGGAATTATATTTGCTTCATCATAAGCATGAATAACATTTGAAAGAAGATTCCATTCATCTTTTGTAAGAGTTGAACGTTCATTATTAAGTAGACTAATTGGTAAAGGCTATAATACAGGACGAGAACAAGTACGATCACAGATCTATCTATGACTTCGATTATTAAAATTGATATATGATTCAATGAAGAGTTTTACACTCACGAGGGATCCTATCCAGGTGTCCAACTTCGATTCAGTTCATTCATACATCATTCGATAGAGTATAGTGAGGTGGTCCAAAAGCCAAAAAGATTATCGGCCACCAACTCTGTCTCGAGGCGTTATAGTCATTTTACTAGAATTTTAGCCTATGGCATGGTATCTACCAAAAACTCAAATGCAGATATTTCGACCTGAAATCTTATTCACAGGTAGGCCTACTTGTAACTAAAATGTCCTGAAAAATTCAGGTCAAAAGAATGTTTCCTTCATAAGATATTGAATTTTCAAAAAACATGACGTCCTTCAATCTTTTCGTAGAATATGAGTGATTTTGAAAATTCAATATCTCATGAACGAAACATTCTGTTGACCTGAATTTTTTCAGAACATTCTAGTTAAAAGTAGGCCTACCTGTTGACAAGATTTCAGGTCGAAATATCTTCATTTGAGTTTTTGGTAGATACCATGCTATATGCTAAAATTCTAGTAAAATGACTATAACGCCTCAAGACAGAGTTTGTAGTCGATAATCTTTTTTGACTTTTGGACCATCTCACTATACTCTATCGAATGATATATTAATGAACTGAATCGAAGTTGGGCACCTGGATGGGGTTCCTCGTCAGTCATTTTAGGTCGATTCGATACGATCTGGAGTAATGAAGATCAGAAATATAAATCTTAGTTTCTCATTATTGGAATATATAGAGGGTTAAATTTTAAACTAATTTATTATAGTAAAAAGTCTAGTGCAACAAATTTTCAGTGTCTTTTATTCTTTACTTTATTATCGGTCAGCGTATTACTCTAGACATTATCAAATTGATCTCAACGTAAAACTCTTCATCGAATCATCCATTGAATTTTTAGTAATCTGAGCAATGAGTAGATTTATATTCTTATGCGTTCTCAGTTTTTTATTGAAACTGAACAATTATAACTGGTGATCGGAAAATAATCAGACAAAATATTCATTTACTTTTCAGTCTTGTAAAGAAGCCTGTGAAAATTTGAAGAGATTAGATTTGAATCAAAATGTTAGACTTTCTAAATATGAGTTCAACAATTTTGTAGAGCTTCTCATTTAGAAACTATGAGCTGAACTTTTAGAGATCCATCAATTAAATTTCGACGAACTTGAACAGGTCAAACATTACCTAAAACAGTAGCGACAATTATTTATAGTCAAATTTCTGCAGGCGTGTTTAAAAGACGGTATATGAGTAAACAACAGAACTGAGGCATTGTTTTTCAATAGAAACATAAGAATTTTTGGCAATTTCCATTGCTATAATACGATTGTAAGACAAAACAAATGTGACATTCAAAATAAGCATAAAAAAAAAGGTACATTGAATCAAATACATTCTAGAGAAATTTTTCTCTTGTCAAAAAATACCTGTGGTCCCCAACAGCTGTCTTTCATTAAGATTTTCTACCATGATCCTTAAAGGGATTAGTTTTTAAGGGAAAAAGAAAAATTCCTCTATAATATATTTGATTAAATGTAGCTTTTCATGCTGACTTCGAATATCTAACTTATTACGTCTTACAAAATTTCCCTTATTCGTCACATATTTCAATCAACAAACCTTTGATAATTGACATTCATTTTTATTTTTCAAAAGTTGATCATGTTTTAATCTCAATTTTTTATAAGACCACTGACGTATTAATTTTGGATTCATACCAAGTGTAAGACATTTTTTTAAACGACAAGGTGAACAAATATTTCTTGTTCTTTGTGTTATTTTACACTTATTATTAAATTGACATTGAAATTTAATCTATATGATAGATATACAATTTTTCTAATAAAAATTTTCGAATTTACCTTTGAATTTACAACATGTCGTCGAAAAAATATTTTACAAGACATACATGTCATAACATCATAATTAATTCCACGTGCAACATCACCACATACAAGACAGATTAAAGGTAAACCACATGTTCGTTTTGTAACCATTGCCGATTTTTATTCGATGAGATACATTATTCTACTCATCTAGAAAAGAAAAAAGAACTCATAGAATCTTATAATAACTTCTTTGGAAGATAGAAAAAAAAAATGTCATTTTCATATGTGTGTTTCTCTAAATAACATCTAATGAAGATCTACGCCTTCAATTGTGAAATGTTTCTTTGCCCTGTTGCGTGTAAAAGAATTACGCACATACTTTTTTTTTATTACTAATAGCAATATTTTGTTTGAAGAGGTTTTATTCGTTAAGTTTTTTTTAAACTACTAATAAGATATAATGAAGATAGATATGTAATTCATATTGCACAAAAAGCAATCGACAGATCATTCGATATGTATACGAAACTATCGATTAACCTAAGACAGTACGAATATATGTATAACATCAGCATTTATTTATGAAATTTTTGTTTTTTTTTATGTGTATGAATTATTTTTAATGTTTAAATACGATAGATTGCTCTCATAAAATATTCTAATTATAAAAAGATAAGTACAATAAAGTTTTTGTTTTTTTAATTCTCGTTTGACATGCACGGAAAATGTATGTCAAAATTTAAGAATTTTAAAGCGAATAACTTTATATAAAATATAACATCGACATAATCGAGAGTTTTTAGTAAAATTACAACTGTTGGACGTCATATGCTATTGCTCGACATCTTAAAAATTATTTATTCTAAAGTTATATACATTCAAACAATATGGACAAACTTGTTCTATTGATAGTTTTTTATCATTTTATGAAGAAAAAGTTGAATTTTTGATTCTTTTTATATGAAAATCTTATTTGAATAATGTTTCTACAAATAGAAAAATGTTAGTTCAACCTCTACAGGATTATAATACAAAACACAATGTCGTTATTGTTATTAGTCACCAGAAGATTATTTTGAGGCATAATTTTTCATTAATTTTTACTTAATCCTCCAAAAATATAATAGAAAAGTAGGTCAATTCTTATCATGAGACGTTATTCATACACGATCTTTTATGGCTTTATTTGATGAGTTCGATATTATTATCTTGTGTATTAGGTTTTTCGTATGTTATAGAATATCAAGAACATATTTTATAGAAGAATCAAAAAAAAAAACATCATATGATTTGCAAGAAATCTATTATAATCGTATTATAAATTGATTAAGATATATCAAATTCTCATGATTATAAATTATTCTAGAATCTATTCGAAATACAAACATATCTAATATCTTTATTTTACGTAGGATAAAAATTAAATTTCATTATATCAAACATTCGATATGTATTCATCATTAATAAAATCATAAAAATATAATAAATGTTTGAAATTTTAAATAGAAAAATTTTTGGTTTTATCGAAATGTAGTCATTAGTTTTAATTTATATTTTCAATGATAATAATGATTAAGATTTAAGGAAATATTTTATTTGTAAAATTATACTTGCACTATCATAAAAAGATTCTATTCATTATCTGTAAGATTTACGTGATATATACATTTACACAAAAAAAAACAGAGAAACCTTTCGATTATGATATAGGAAAGTATCTACAAAAAAAAACAAAATAGTTAACAAAAATATATAGATCAGATCTAATGAACTTATGATATTAATTATCAAGGATACATTTATAAAACAAAATGTAAATAACAAGAGAAGAATAACTAACTCATACGAAAAGTACCTGTTTCGATTATTTTAACTTATAATAAATGATAGTCAGATACGATTGTTATCTATTAACTTAATTGTTCTTCGTCCAGAATAATCTGAATAAATAAAATCAATAAATCATATCTTAAAAGTCAATAATACTTCGACCTGTGTGTTCATCATGAAGCATATTAATATTGAATAAGATATGTTAGAATATATGTCGTCGCATCTAGCAGTATACATACTTCGTCTCTTTCTCGTTATTACTTTCTTTTAATGTCTTTTTTTTCTTCTGTTTTACTCTAGTTCTTTGCTTAATCTTCTGTTTTTTTTAAATTATAAATAGTCACGTATTAGTTCATGATGTTAACATCAATAACTCACCTGTTTTTTTGTATAAGTGCTTTTTAATGGCACAATAACTATAGATAATCAAAAATAAAAAAAAACAAAGTCGTAAGGTTTGAACGAATCACTATGTAGAAGATAAAATAGTCTGATTGATAACGATAACTCATATCAGATAAAAGAAAAAACCTTTCTTCATATGACAAGTTGAACAAACACTTCTTGTATGTTGTACTATTTCACAAATCCTCGTTAAATTGGTACTGAAGTTTAATCTTTCTAATTGATAGAAAACAGAATATGAATCATTCTGATAAGAAATTTTCAAAGTCACATCTGATTTTAGTACATATTGTAAAAAACATGTTTCACAAGATATGTACATCATGATATCAAAAAATAATTCAACATACAACATTACCATATACAAGATAGATCAAAAGCAAATTACCCAAGGTGAACTTTTTTTTTTCATATACTTGACCTGCGCAGACCTCAAGTTTTGTCCATAGCGCATGACTTTCTTGCTCAAGACAAGTGCTTGAGTGTTTCATGAAAATACACCTATGAATTTTTATTAAAATTTGAGTTATTTTGAACGTAAGATTGCAAAAAAAAATATAAAAAATTCTTGAATAACAGAAACGTTTGCATAAGAATTCAAGTGCATGCGCAAGAATATCAAGCGATAGAACAAGAAGTTCAAGAGCTTGAGCTCGCCGAAAGGTCTCTAGTCTTGCCTCAAGATTTGTCCATAGCTCATGACTTTCTTGATCACGATTCTCAAGTATCTCCTGCGCAGATCAAAAGAAGTTCGTCTCGGATGAGATCTTATTTATAAAAATATTAATTAAAAGAAATATAATCATAATGTAATTTGTAACCATGTATACAAATTAATCATATACATGTAACGATGCAATATACAGATTATTTTTCTTTCTTGTCATATGTTTTGTTTTTGTCAATAAAATTTTTCTTGACTAATAGATTATTTCCTTATCAATAATATGTTATTAGAAGATCAGTTTGTTTTATAATAATTTTTTGTTCGACTATATTAATCATTAAAAACAAAACGAACTAGTTAATTTTTATAATCAGATAATCTGATATTTTCTAGTTATTATTGAAGATTTTTATTTTAGTTTTTAACTGTAAAAAAAAATAATAAACAAGTATTCTATTGTTTTTAACTACTAATATGAATGCTATTCAAATTAATCCTTTGATTTTGAGTTGGTATGATGTTCATGAGAAAGAGTTAAGTGAATCAAGACAATCTAAAAATCATTCATACTCATGATCTATTGATCACAAATTGTAGTTTTTATAATGAATTTTTTGTCTACGGCAAAGTATCTATAATAAAGTGACATGAAATTATTAGTATCTGAAATCGTGTTTATAAAAAATGCTAACGACTCTATTATACATTAAAATCTTAGGTCAACACTGAATGAATACCTTCGAATTGGACTGTACATTTTCAAAAAATTTGAGTTTTTCAAAGTTTTACTACGATTTATTTGTCACAGAAACGTTTTTGAGAACAACATACGTACATATTTGAAATAAATGTAGAAAATTGTATGAAGTATTCTATCACAAATGGTCATCAATCTTATTTTTGAATACAAGAAATTAATATTTCTATGACAAAATAAGTCATTTCCATCAAACATTCATCAGTAGAGACAATTCTAAAATTGGTATTAGTCACATCGAGCTTTTCTCATCAATGATGTATCAATTCAAAACAGAACAATTAGTTGAAGTAGCATTTTCGTCAGTTTATACAGTGTACTTTATTCGTTATGGAAAAATGTTACTAAGTATTCTATGAATGAAAATATATCTTTTATCATTTATCGTAGTTCATACAAACTTTCGTACCTCTATAGTAATACGAAATACTTTTTGTTATTGATCATATATTTGATATTCCAGTACTGGATCATTGCCTGTTATGTAAATGAATATAATTAGAAATGTTTTTTTTTTTCTAAGTGATATTGGATGCATTTTATTTCAAAACAAAACGTTATTTAGTAAGAATCTTACAAAATTACAATATGAATGACTTCAATTTATAAGATAGATTAGTTAATATATATCCATAAATTGAAATGGACACAAAATCATATTTTCATATAATTTCTTTGTATTAATGTGTGAATACAATATTCTACAAGAGTCTTCAAAATATTTACTAATTCGAGTTGTATTAATTTTCAATAATTAATTCATTATTTTGTATTTCAATTTTCAGTTATCAATGAACGTTTTGTTTCTTCAACAAGTGTATCAACTAAATTTTCATGATATGTATTTCTCATTTCATTTGCACAATTGATAATATCAAGAACACATTTTATTAAATAATTAAAACTTTGTACAGCTCCATTAAATCCATAATGATAAATTAAATATTTCCAAAACATTGTAACAAGTATACATTCTATATGAAATACAGATAATGCACTAGATGAAGTCATTCGATTTTCTGTATAATGAGGAATAACAATTGAACAATTTGTTGAAAATGCTAAAGTTAAAATCATTAATTTAACAAATATTCCATTTGATTCTAATCGTGTCGTTAAATGATAAGATTTTTTGATAACATCATCACCATAAATTGTAGTACAACTAGTAATAAATGTCATATTATTTAATGCATTTATTTCACGCATAACTAAAATAGAATTTAATGTACCAGCTATTTCAGAATTATTTTCTATAAGTATTTGACGTGTCTTAGTTGATAAATTACGAAAATATGATGAACGTTCAAAAAATGATTGAAATGTTGAAAGAAGTACTTTAAAAACAAGAATTGCTTGTGATGCTTTTGATCGTAATTTTGGTGGTAATGATGATTGTTGTTCAAGATGATATTTCATTTGTGGAATTATATTTGCTTCATCATAAGAATGAATAATATTTGAAAGAAGATTCCATTCATCAATAGTAAGATTTGAACGATCATTATTAAGAAGACTAAGTGTTAAAGGCTATATGAAAAAAACGAAAATTTATTAATAATAGAATAATTCTATATTTCAACAAACCATTGGTAATTGATTATTATTTTGATTTGTATTCATCATAAGTTGTTCATGTTTTGATTTAAATTGATTGTAAGACCAATGTCGTATTAATTTTGGATTCATACCAAGTATAAAACATTTTTTTAAACGACAAGCTGAACAAATACTTCTTGTTTCTTTTGTTATTTTACAATTATTATAAAATTTGCATTGAAGTTTCATCTTTTTTATCAAAATAAAACAAAATACTATATAATCTTATGATAAAAATTTTATAACTTACATTTAATTTATGTATATTTCGTCGAAAAAATACTTTACAAGACATACATGTCATAACATCAAAATTGATTCCACGTGCAATATCACCACATACAAGACAAATTAAAGGTAAACCACATGTTCGTTTTGTAAACATTGTTGATTTTTATTTATCTAAAAAACTTTTTTTTATTATTTTTTAGATTGATAAAAAAAAAAAAGATGATCTTTGTTTCATATGTGTAAATGAATTTCGGATATATTAAATTTTTTTTCGACTATTTGGTTTTAGTCAAAAATTTTTTATATTAATCTAAAAAAACAACATATCTGCAGTATTATCCTTTGAAAGTATAATTATTTTTTCAATGGAAGAAAGAGTTTTTAGTTGTCAAGATATTTTATTATATTATGATAAAAGTAATGATAATTTGTAAAGATTATTATTAATGTCTAGGTAAAATAGATTGCTCTCATGTAATTATAAAAATCAAGGTATGACATCTTATTTTTTTTCCATTCTAGTTTGACAAGTGCGCAGTATTTCTCTGAAAAGTTCAGAATCGTAGAAAAAGTAAGTATCTGTAAGATAAGATGTTGACAAAACGTTGTTTTCTTTTTTTTGTTCTAAGTTAGAATTGAACGAACATTGAAAATTTATAAAGAGTTCAGACAAAAATTGAATTTCGAATTTTCAATTAATGCTTTCAGTAAAACTACAACAATAAAAAAAAAGTACACCTGTTAGTCATATAAAGTTGACCGACGTTCTCTAATTTTAAGAATACTAACTATTTATTCTAAATAAATATAGATTTAAAAAACTTTGGACTAACTTTTCCTACTGCTACTTGTTAATTCTATATAAAAGAAAAGAGTTGAATTCTCATTCTTGTTACGTATCGTATTGAATTCTAATTATGTTTTATTCATCAAATGGTTCTTCTTTATATGAGAATCTTATTTGAATGTATTGTATACATAAATAGGAAACTAATAGTGAAATTTCTGTAGAATTAAAATGTGCAACACGATGTAGTTGCTATTGTTAATCATAAAGAGATTGTTTTATTCTATCTATTTTGTATTACATTTCATTATCATCCTTTTACTTAATCCTTTAAAAACGTAATAAGTAACAGATTCATTTATTATAATGAGACATTATTTATATATGGCATCTCATCGCATGTCAACAAAGTTTGTCATGACCTATTATTCCGGAAAGAGAGGGTAGGGAACTGCAAAGTAGTCCCGGTCCCGGTCCCGGTCCCGGTCCCGCCGGGACCGGGACCGGGACCGGGACCAAATTTTGACTTTTTTGCGGGACCGGGACTAAAAATTTTGCATACTGGTCCCGGTCAGTTTTTTATGCAATGTGTCGCCATTTATTTTATTTTTTTGACAATCATAATGGCGACTCAGTATAAATAATCAATTCGATAATAAATCCCTTAGCTAGAGCAGTAGATATAAGAGAAGAGAGAAATGAGTAGATGACTACTACGAAGAACATGAGAATTTTTAACAAAATTCAATGGTTATTTTTATTTATTCGAGTTTTCAATGAAATTCTTTCACTTTAACACTGGATATAAAAACAATTCTCGTAATGTTAACGAATCAAAATTATTCATGTCAATTTAATGTATTCATAAAAGTACATAGATCGTTAAAAAATTGTTCGATTTTAGGAATGAAGCCAATGTCAAAGACCGGGACCGGGACCGGGACTGGAAAAAAATTTGACCGGGACCGGGACCGGGACTAAAAAAAATATATGACCGGGACCGGGACCGGGACCGGGACTAAAAAAAGTGATTTTGCAGTTCCCTAAGAGAGGGTGGGGGGCTCAAAATATTTTCGCTATGTTTCAGTAGTTCTTTTAGATTGTGTGTTCACAAAACATGTTCAATTTTAAATATTAATTTATTATCATTGCAGTTTATTTTGTATATTTCAATGGAATCTAAAATAAAATAGATTTTTTTGTTTAAAATCTTTAAATTGTAATACAAACTGTTTGTTTACCATTTTCATTCAATTATTCTTAGATTCAAGAAGATATTTTATTCGTAAAGTTATTTTTACTGTATTATAAGTAGGGATAATAGCTGAAAGAAGATTCTATTTATCATGTGTAAGATTATAATCATGTTTATGAAGAAGACTAAGTGATATGATCTATAATGATACTAATTAAAAAAAATAATGAATGTACTTTTTTTTACAAATCTCGGATGATTGTTTATCCTTCTTGACAATTTATTTTATATTCACACCGGGTAAAAAAAAACATTTCTGCATATGACAAGTTGAACAAATATCTATTATGAATTGTGTTATTTCACAGTCATTGTCAAATGAATACTGGAGTTTAATCTTTTTTGATTGATGAAAAACAGAATATAAATTCTTACAATAAAAAATTTCCGTTGTCAAGTCTAATTTTGGTACATGTCCTTGAAAAAATAGTTTACAAAACATTTATATCATGACATTAGAATGCATTTCAGGTATAAGATCACAACATACAAGATAGATCAAAGTCTAACTAGATTGTTCATTTTGTAATCATTGATAGATTTAGTTTTATTTAATTAGTCGCACTATTTTACAATCTATAGTTGATTCTTTACTGATTGTTCTTTGAGAAAAAAGGATTTGCGCATTTTACTTTATAAAAGTGTAAATTTAAAAAAAACATATACTCATTTGCAATCTGTAACGATGTGTAGAATGTAAAAATGTGCATGTAATGTTGTATAAAAAGAAGATTATTTTGCTTCCTTTTTCATATTTTTTTGTCTTTATCCGTAACAGCATTATTAGTTGCATTATTTTCTTATCAATGATGTACTGTCTGAAAATTTGTTCGTCACAATAATTTTATCTCATTATTTTTCCTAGACTGAAACGATAGAGTCTAGAATCAGAAATTCATCTATGTCTATCAGTCTGTACCATAGTTTCATATGGTTACTATGATAGAAATGACCGCATATGATAGTGAAAAAAAGAGTATCTATGCATAAGGATTGAAAATAATCAAGAAGTAATATCCTAGGATGAATAATAGATAGCTCGTATACATTCTGTATTTCATCACATACGACGGTTGACGGTTGTTTACGAGAATGTTTTTCTGATCTCAAAATATTTTTCAAAATAACGATCAGTGTTATAAAAAAAAACACTGGAATATTTTCATCAATTGTTTAATACTGTATACATGAAGATGTGATA